AGGAGGACCTAAGAAGGAGAGAAAGGGCAATTATAGGGTACACATGGACATCAAACCAGAAGATGGTAGGATGTAGAAGGGAGGAGTAGAGAAGATGAGCAATAAAGACAGTAACTATGAAAGTCTCACAGAAAGCTGATGAAAAGAAGGCTAAGGTATGCTTAAAGTCATTGGTTTACTGCAGTCTTCTGTAAATGTTGTGTTTATTTCCTCAGATGATGGGATAAAATGAGAGCTGTACCCAAGTTTTATGAATACAAGGCTTAGACTGAGAGCAGAGCATTTCTATCTAACTGTCCCTAGGCCTAGGCCTGGAAGCATCTAGCTTCCAAACAATCTAATCTTTCACAAGCCCAGACCTTGAAGGCTTCAGCTTCTAGCCTGTCTGCTAGCCTAGATCTAGAATGTTTTCATCCTCTGAGACTTACTGCTGAGTAAGCTCACTTTCTCTAGTCTGGCTGGCTGGTTCAACTCTGCTGTTCTGGCTCAAAACTCTCCAAGCTGATTCAAACTGGCTTCTCTTTGCTTCTCACTGAATTGCTGTGCTTGGAAAAACTGCCTCTGAACTCCACAAACTGAACTGCATGAACTCAACTGCACTCAACTGAACTGCACCAAGCTGCACTGAACTGTCCTGTACCCCCAAACTCCACTGTACTGTCCCCATGAACCCTCCTGCTCTCGATCTGTATGGCTCTTAAGTAGCTTCTCCTTCTGTCTGTTCTCGTGGGAGTTGGGCCTATGCTATTGGACTCATTCTGTCAAATCTTTTTTCTGATCCATCACTTTGCCTCTCAATTGGATATTACTGTTTGATATTAAAGATGAGTACTAAATTCCAGCAAGAGGAATTAAAGGTGTGTCTTGTCTATATTCCAGCCAGAGGGATTAAAGATATATATTAAGAATGTGTCATTATTCCAGCTGACCTAGATCTTCAGATGTGAAACCTTACCAGATGAGCCATGTTGCTGGATTAAAATCCCTCTACAACCTTCTCATTTCACAGTAGAAAAACTAATAAAACCAGTAATGATCACATTGCATTTACTGGAAGCAACTGGGGCACAAAATAAATAGGCAGTGAGCCCGGGTCCCAGGTACATGTGGTGAGCTAGCTCATCTTTGCCTGGAGCGACCAATTCATGGGGCAAAATCCAACAAGGGGTGCTTTTCCAATCAACATTCTCTCAACATTTATGGATAGCTCTGATTGCTCCATCCAGAAAACTCATCTGCTCTGGCTGTTGGCTAACACTATGATCTTGAGAGGCAATGCTGAGTCAGAAAACAGTGATAAATACAGCCTTTGTGGGTATCCAATAATGTTAAATATTAACCTGACTACAATAATTAGATGAAATAAATAAGTTTTAGAAAAGCAAACCGGGCATGGTGGTGCACGCCTTTAATCCCAGCATTCTGTAGGCAGAGGTAGGTGGATCTTTGTGAGTTTGAGACTAACCTAGTCTACAAAGTGAGTTCCAGGACAGACAGAGTGGTTATACAGAGGGAACCCTGTCTCGGGGGTGGGGGTTTAAAAAAAAATCAAGCAAAATTTCTACGTTGGCATATATATTTGTGTCTTGTACTCTAGAGGCAGATTGCCCAAAAAAAATGTACAGTGAACGCAGCTACAATTTTAAAGTGTTAGTTCTTATGGTGTTGGGGCTCAATCCTAGAGTCTTGTGTGTGCTAGATTAGCACTCTGTCACTGAGGCACAGCCACAGTCCACACAGAGACAACTCTCAGTTTAGAAGCCATGATTAAAAAGTAAAATGGGAAATTAATCACTGATCTCTTAGGTTAACCCCAAGCAGCCATCCTTTGATGTCCACGGAGGCTGAGTCAAGGACTCCCAGAGTTTATGAAAGCCAAAGGGGCCTTGTCCACGTCCTCTCACTCTTTATGTCCAAGGCCTAAGACGTCTCTGGCACAGAATAGGTATAGCAGTTTAAATGACAATGTCCTCATATGCTCAGATGTTTGAATACTGTTTGGGTAGGTTGAGGTGGCACGGCCTTGCTCAAGGATATATACCACTGCTGGCAGGCTAAGGTTTCAAGCCTTTCCCCATGCCGAGTGCCTTCTCTCCTCCATGCTTGCCACTGGAGATGTGGGCCCTCAGCCTCTGCTATGCCATAATGGGTTTCCTCTGGAACCATTCATCCAAATAAGCTTTCTTCTGTAGGTTGCCTTGGCCACAGCGTTTCTATCATAGCAATATAAAAGTGGCTGACACTGTAGGCACCTTTTACTGAATGAAGGAGGGAACTCTGCTTTTGCCACAGCTACTTTTTTGAAAAACTGACTCTGCCATTTGTCATTTATCTCAGGCCCACTGAGCATCTCATCTTCTTATAAAAATCTTGTGGCCCACTTTAGATTTGAGAACTGGGTAGAATAATATAAACGAATTATCTAGGATGTCACACTGGGAGAAACAAGACATAGATCTGGATCTATCACCCAGACTCAAGCAGGCTGAACAAGAATAGACACAGTGTCCAAAGCTCTGATGCTGCTCTGTGTGACGGTTCAACTCAGCAATGAAATCACATGCAATGGACACACTAGGCACTATGTGGCCTGGAACCAGAGGGCACTGAAAGGGTTATGGCTGTGCCTAATGGGATGAAACTTAGAATTTAAGCCTGCATCTAAGCTGAAACAAATCTGGGTGAGTGGCCAGGTAGAAAACTTACAGTAACATATGCTGAACTGAGAGAAACAAACAACAAAACAAAACAACAAAACCCAAGGAAGTAAAAGACTGTGATCAGATTTCCTCATGTTTAGATGTTGCCCCCATCTGCCATTAACAATCAAAACATTAAAATAAAACAGGTATTAGCCAGGTGTGGTGGTGTAATCCAGCCACTTTGGAAGCTGAGGCAGAGGATCATTGAGTTTGAGGCTAGTTGGGCTAGCCAAGACCCTGTCTCAAACTACACACACACATACATAAGTACTATTAGGGAAGTAGAGAAGTTTCCAGAAGCCAGCCTCCCACTTAAGAATAATCAAGAAACATACCACAGCTCTTTAAGACCAGAAGAAAAACAGCCCACATAATGGACTTCCAAAAATCTGCAGCCATGAAATGCTTCCTGAAGTATTAACCGACCATTTTGCCCAAAGTGTTAAGGGGTTTGTTCTGTAGGCAGGGGACCAGATGCACACACCTTTATTGGAAAGGACTTTATCAGTGGGAAGGAAAAAAAAAAAAAAAAGAGGAAGGTTCCTAAAGGAGCTTTCCAAAGAAATGCTTTTCTTTACCCTCAAAAAAGTAGCATACATCTATTTCTGCCAAGCTACGCCCTACAGGAAAATTAATAACATGCCCCCATATAAACCGTTAGTGTCGTTTGGGGCCATTTAAAGCAATGTTTGAAACATGGCACCTTCTTTGCTGACATTTTTTCAACCACTACAAATTACAGCCGCTATTCTACAGGTCTACATACACAGCTCTGTCCCCAGAAAGTGAGTGCAGGCATCTCCATTCCTTCTGGTCTGCACTGTTAGATTGTGGTCTACAATATACAGACATCACTATTATCTGTTTGGAGCCAGGCACAGTTGTACATGCCTGTGATCCCAGTACTCTGGGAGGCAGAGGCAGGTGGATCTCTGTGAGTTCAAGGCCAGCCTGGTCTACAAAGTGAGTCCAGGGCAACCAAGCTACACAGAGAAACCCTGTCTCAAATAAATAGATTACTGTTTGGTCATTAACTTGACTGGCTCTGGATCCAACTAAAAGACAAACCTCTGAGTATACCTATGAGAGATTGCCTTGACTAAGCTACCTGAAGTGGAAGACCACATCCTAAATATGGGCTAATGATCCTGCAGCAGCCCAATTTCAAGGTCTGCAAGTGAAAGCTTTTTGCTTGCTTGCCTTTGCATCTTGCTGATGAGTTCATCTACCCTATGCTTGCCACTGCTTCTGCCTTCCTTTACTGATACTAGAACCCAGTTTCTCTAGCTTTACAATGTGGGTTTTAGACCAATGGCTATCCGCAAGCCAGTCTAATAACCTTTTAAACAGATAAACACACAAACTCATTTTATTGGTTTTGCTCCTAGAAAAACCCTTGACTAACAGACCTGTCATTTTTTTTTTTTTTAAGATTTATTTATTAAGTATATAGTGTTGTGTTTGCATGTACAGCTGCAGGCCAGAAGAGGGCACTAGATCTCATTATAGATGGTTGTGAGCCACCATGTGGGCGCTGGAAATTGAACTCAGGACCGTTGGAAGAGCAGTAAGTGCTCTGAATCCTTAAGCCATCTCTCCAGCCATCTCTCATTTTTATTTTTAAACTTTAAGACAGGGTCTCACTAAGCTGCCCAATGTGGTCTTGAATTCATTCTACACCGTACGAAGGCCTTGAGTTTGTGATAGTCCCAAGTACATGGGATTATAGGCACACAGCCCCAGGCCTGGCTCCTGTCCACACACTGATTCTTCCACTTGCTTTTAATTAAAAATGAAAGTTGTACTCTAAATTGAGTATAGAGAACTAAATCTAGCAATATGGGTATATCTATCTCATTATTTGAACCTCAATAATTTCATAATATAACTCTATAAAATAGGCCTGTGATGGTTTTTTTGTTTAAAACTTGACTGGATTTAGAGCCACCTCGGAGCAAAGCCTGTGTGCTGGGAGGGGTGGTGAGAGCCAGCACAGATGTGAGTGGCAGCAGCACCCCACAGGCAGGGGCCTGCAGCGAACACGAGAGCAAGCAGAGCAGCAGCACGCACTGCTGTGTCCTGACTGCAGATGTGCCATAGCGGTGCCTCATGCTCCGGCCACCATGCGCTGTACCCTGAAACGGGGCTAAAATAAGCCCTTCCACCCTTATGCTGTTACTTAGGAATGAACAGTGGGCCCTAAAACTGTATACAAGTCATACTAGAAAAGAACTGAATTCACTTTAAGGGAAGGGAGAACAAAAATACTCACTAAGAAAAAAGTATAACAGTTTCATGTCAGTTTGTGTGATAATTTTACTGCATAAGAAATTAGAGATTGCATAAATTATTAGGTCAACAGTATATAAAGAACAAACTAAGTAAACAAATTGTTGAAAAATAATAAGACAAGGAAAAACAACCCAATTTGTAAGAACACCATACAATCCAGAGCTGCGACTTCTTTTGGAAGAGAATTTATCTTTTTGTACTTTGTGGACAAACTAATGTCTGTAGGTACATGAAGTGAGAGGGACTCACTCTACAGCTAAAACCAGGAAAACAGCACACACGGACACACGGCCCTCTGAAACCGACAGAGCAAAGACCAGGCGCCTGCAGCACGGCAGGGGCGCTCCCCCAACAGTGGTCTTCCGTGGGATAGGATCCTGCGCACCAACATCACACATGTTGGAGAACACACACAGCAAGAAAGCATGGGAGTCGTATCCTCCTACGAAAGAAAAACACACAGCTATACCAGACACTAACATTTTCCCTTCTTCATTCAATTATTTATCCTGTCCAACACAAAAATGTAAATAAATAATTTCTTACAAAGTTCAAGTTATACTGTTTCAAAAAGAGACTTAAAAAAACCCCAAATCTTAATTTACTATTTCTTATCGTTAAATAAACATGCTAATATACAGACACATTTGATGCTTTTGCAAGTTGTAGAAGTCAGCCATGTCTAGGTCAGAGCACCTCATCATAACAAACACACCCCAAATGTAGGTTTAACACAAGCAAAATCCACTCAAAATAAACTTTTCTCTTTTTTTTTCTGTTTAGCTTTTTTTTTTTTTTTTTAATTTTTTTTTAAGGCTTCATTTTTTGGATTTTAGAACTACATTTGGGTTGTGTGAAAAAATACAATTTCAATGCAAAAAAATCTATCAAGCATTCAAGAGTGTATTGCTGGTGCTATCAAATCGTTTTGCATGTCTTTGTTTTCATAGAAAGAAATAACAGTAGAACAAATAAAAGAAAAGAGAAGAATTTTAAATGGCTAAACGTCAGCACACAATCCGAGAAGAGGCCTCATGCGCACACGCACAAAGTGGAGACAGGAGAGGCAGCTCAGACAGCTTTCTCCTGCAGCTGTTGTAGCTTTCTCCTCAGAAGACGGTAGTTCTCCTTGGTGCCGGCCGCCACAGGGTCAAGCTGCAAGGAGATCTCATAGTGTTTCTTGGCTGCATCGAGATGTCCCCAGCGATGATAGAGCACAGCTGAAATAGCAAGGGATGAATTTAGTTGGAAGCGCTTCTGACTAACTTGCAGGATTCCTAAACATATGCACAAAGAACTATTGCAAAGCCTTTACAGCAATCACTGTTTAAAAAAATATTGTTTGTACTGAAAGCTTTATTTATTGTAATTATATACCCTGGGGAGTGTCCTCTGGACCCTGCCTGGTACGCAGGGTTTCTTCTTATCATTAGGTGGGATTCACGTGCTTCCAGAAAGGTTATTACAAGGGCACATGACTGTTTCCATGCTGCTGTGAAACTTCTAGCTAGTCAGCACTGTACTGTGCTTGCGCTATGCCAAGGTCCAGCCCCTTAGTATCTTACTCCTTGTAAAGCTCATAACTTATTTTAGCCTTTAAAGATTTTTAAAATTTTATTTGGTCTGCATATATGTATGTGTACCACATGCGTGCAGTGCCCGCTACCTGTGGAAGCTAGAAGGTGCCAGGCGCTCTAGAACTGGCATTGGAGAGGGCTGTGAGCCTCTGGGTGGGCACTAGCAACCAAATCTGGGCCTTTTCAAGAGCTGCCAGTGTTCTTAACTGCTGAGCTGCCTATAACCGCCACCACTTACGGGAAGATGTCCATACACCTTTTGGTGAAATAACCGCGGTTGCTAGGCTGAAAGAGGGGCTGTGACATCAGAATCAGCTGTAAAATGACAGTTACACTGCGGTGCATCTTCAGCACTCTAAGCCTGCTTGGTATAAGGGATGTTTTTCAGGAGGCACAGGAGTGTGAATATAGGCCCCATAGAGCACTCTACGCTAAGCTGTAAAATCAGCCCATTAAAACAATTTTTTGAGGGAAATGTAAACAAATCAAAACAACTCTGAGATTCCATCTTACACTGTCAGAATGGCTAAGATAAAAACTCAAGTGACAACACATGCTGACAAGGATGTGGAGAATGGGGAACCTTCCTCCATTGCTGGTGGGAATGCAAACTTGTACAACCACTTTGGAAATCAATCTGGCGCTTTCCCAGAAAACTGGGAATACTTATATTTCTGGGCATACATTCAAAAGACGCTCCACCGTACAAGGACATCTGCTCAACCATGTTCACAGCAACTTTATTCATAATAGCCAGAAACTGGAAATAACCTACATGTCCCTCAATCAAAGAATGGATAAAGAAAATGTGGTACATTTACACAATGGAATACTATTCAGCCATTACAAACAATGAAATCTTGAAATTTGTAGACAAATGGATGGGACTAGAAAAGATCATCCTAAGTGAGGCAACACAGACCCAGAAAGACACACATGGAATATACTCACTTATAAGCAGATTTTAGTCATATAGTATAGGGCAGACATACTACAATGCACAGACCCCAAGAAAATAAGCCCAGTGGGCATCTTGGGCTTCATGTGGGCCCACTGGTTAGGAGAGTGGGGGATATCTCTGACATGGACTTTGTTGCCTGCTTTTTGATCACTTCCCCCTGATGGAACTTCCCTACCAGGCCACAAAGAAGACAAATTCAGTCCTCATGTGAATAAATGAGCTGAGGTATCTGGGTAGGGGAGCTCTGCTATTCTGAAGGATGGTGGGACTGGGAGGAGAGGAGGAAGGAGCCATGACTGAGATGAAAACTGAATAAATTAATACAGAAATATTTTGAGCAGGGTCAATACAGGTTCCCTTTCAAAATTACTTTTGCAAAGGGTTAAATATATATCCATACACTATGTATTATATATTATATATGATTACATAATATACAACAACAGAATTAACACAATTCAAATGGAAAATTTTCTTACCCAAATTACCGTGGTAACTTGCAACATTTGGATTTGCTTTAATTGCCTTGAGGAATAAAGCTTCAGACTCCTAAAAAACGAAATGCACACAGGTGTTGCAGGTCAAGCGAAAACAATCACCTCACCTTCTGTCATTATTGCTCTGTGCCAGCCAACCCTTTCCAGAAACAGCTTTGCTGAAAGGGGCTAGAGGGACTAGCAAGGAAGGCGACAAGGGCTGGCAGAACAGTGGTGCCCAAAGAGGAGCAGATGCAGCCCCTGAGCTCCAGCTCAGACAAGGCTGGGATCTTGCAGCCTGATTCAAATGACTTGATTCAGGGTTCAGTGAAGGAAGAAGGGGACAGAGGAGGAAAGGACGAAGCTGACAAGGGTACCCATGAAGGCAGCATGCCCAGCCTGAACTGGCAGCCTCCTTGCAGACTCTCAAGGTAGGGGCATGAATACCCCAGAAACCCAGACAACCTTCGGTATTCCAGATGAAGTTGCAGCCCTCATTCAGCAGCAATTAGCATGGAGAATGAGGAAGAAATGGCCACCTATGATAGAAGCCACCTAGTGCCGTGTATGACTGTGACCAAATGCCCTGGTGCGCATGGCCGGGTTCGTGTACACATCCTCTAAGCTGTCCTTACTGGCAGCAGAGTCACTAGGAAGCAGGGAGAAGTGGTTTCCTTCCCGCCTGAGCCCAGAAGCCACTCTCCATGCCCAATGTCCCACCCATCCATTAACACAGCGCAGGCCACACGCGGGTGTCCTGCATGCCTGTGTTAAAGGACGGCCCTTATACTGCCATGCTGTTGGACTGGGGCAACTTTCACATCTCACATGCTACGTGATTTACTGAGTGGGCTTTCTGCCTCTGTACTTTCTACAGTGCAGGTACAGCAGCTTCTTTGCCATGGATAGTCCAAGGGAGTCCTGGGAAGCAGGCTTGGCGTCTAGGTGGACAACTCTGAGCCACAGCGCCCAGAGAAAGGCTGGTCATGTAGAAGTTTCCTCAAAGGAAACTGAACAAAGCCACCTGACACACGGTGGTGGTGAGTCAGTGTCTGCGTCCCAGCGCCAGCAGCTGAACAGCCTTCAGAGAGACTTAGGATTCATCCAACATTTTAGATAAGCTGCAGAACCAAAAAAACACAACAAAAAACTCCCAAATGGCAGGTTTTCATGCAGCTATGCTTTTTCTGGTAATTTTTGAACATTTTCATTTAACACCTAAAACCACAGAAAATAAGAGAGCCAGAGAGAATGAGAATCTTTCAGAGGCTCTGCTGCCTCAAAGTGGTTTGCTGGAACACACTGCTGCAGGGATGGGTGACTCGTTCTAGGGGTTCCCACACTTTCTAATTTCCCTAACTGCTCAAATGTCAAGGCCACGCTGTCCCAGGGTAGAGAAGAATTGGTGACACTGATTGTGGCCAGGGGCTTGAGGTTCACACATCTTTAGGGGGTGGCTACTCCTAATGACAAGGCTGAAGTTGGCAGGGGGACCAGGAGTGAAAGAGGAAGCTTGAATCAGGTTTCCAAGACTGAAAATCAAAACACTGCGGCATGTCAACACAGGGATGTCCCAGGAAAGGCAGGTCTCAGGGCACGTGAGTATGGGCACAACCTGCTGTCTCAGGGAGCCTTGAGTGCATGCTCCAGCAGTCCTGGACTGCATCTGAGCGTGAGGGTGAAGACGGGCCTAAAGGCATTCAAAGCTCCTGACTGCACGTCCATCCCATTGGCTCTTAATGGCCCTGTTCAGGAAAGCAGAACTCTTTTTAAGCTGGTCCATAGAGATATCTGGATGCTTGTAGGCTCAGGAAATGTGCTGGTTTATACCTGTGAGTGAATACATACAACCCTCATTTGAAAGTGGAGGTTTTGTTTATAAACAAAGGAAAAGTAACACACTCTCTTCCCAAGTACATTATACACTGCCTTTAACAAGGCTTTGAGCTGGAAACAGCCTTGCAATTTGGGTCTTTAGAACAAGTGGAGGTCTAGATAAAGAGGACCCAGAAGGCAAAACATTACAGAAGCAGCAGGTCCTTAAGCCCAAGTCTGTGCCCTCTGATGGGATGTCCTAAGGGCCTCCGAAAAGGGAGTAGACAGTCTGATGTGGAGTTTAAAGCACAGCATGCTCGCCTTCCTTCCGATTCACTCAGGCAAAAGTCAGTACAGCTGGCAGTTTGTGGCACATAGTCCCTCAGAGCCTGTGCCTGGAATAGTCAAGTAGCTGAAATGGAACAAAATTTTCACTTTTCAGCTACCTACAGTTCTAATAACGACATGATATTACCTTTTAAACACACTCATCTGTGTTTAAAATATATTCAAAGGGCTGGAGAGATAGCTCACTTGCAAAGAAGCTATGCTGTATTCCCAGCACATATTTGGCTTCTCCCAACCATCTGTAACTCCAGCCCCAATGGATGTCATGCCTTTTTCTGGCCTCCACGGGCAGTGCACATATGTGGTTCACAGATATACATGCAGGCAAAACACCATACACATAAAAAGGTTTAAAGATTAATAAATAAGAACCAAGGTGCGATGGTGCACACCTATAATCCCAGCACTCGGGCAGACAGAGGCAGGTGGATCTCTGTGAGTTTGAGACCAGCCTAGTCTACAAAGCGAGTCCAGGACAGCCAAGGCTACAAAGAGAAACCCTGTAAGTAAAAAAAAAAAAAAAAAAATTACTTATTTCTTTAAAGAGAAGCACCAGTGGGGGCTGGAGGGTTTAAATCCCTGAACTCTCAGGTACTTGGGAAGCTAAGACAACAGGATAGAAGAAGGCCAGCCTGGGCTATATAACAAAATATAGCAAGACTCTTGAAAACCTCAGTGGAAGAGGTTGTGTGTGATTGTGTGTGTGTGTGTGTGCATGTGTGTGTATGTGTCTGGAGGTCAACTCCAGGGTCTCACAAATCCCAGGCAAGCCTTCTATCACCGAGCTACACCTCAGCACCAGAGTTAAGATCTTGTGGTTTTCATTGGTCAAAAATCTCTAGGGTTTTGCTGATCACACAATTCAGGGGAGAAATCTAGCTGAACAAAATGCAAAAGGTAGGACCCACGACAACCCCAGTTCTCCTGCCTTACTGCAAGGGACAAAGTAGACTGTTCACACAGAGGAGGAGGGTGTGTCCTGGAGGGATGGCACTGTGTAAGTTGTCTTGACACCAACCGTGTCTCACAGGAGTCCAGCACCAGCAGCTCAGTCTTCTCTCTCCACAAGGAACAAAATGGTTTCTGATGAGAAAGGACACTGGGCTTGACCGCACATGCCTACTTCAGGAAGCAATCGGACCAAGCGCTTCCCTGGTACTCATGCTCTGGCCTAACTCTCCACTGAACTACGGATGGCCCCTGTCAGCTGCTGGACTGACCGCAGACCACCGAGGCCCGTGGTCCACCTACCTTGTATTTCTGGGATTTCCCCAGAACGTTGGCCAACGAGAACATAAGAGAGTGATCATTCGGAATTAATTCCAGCGCCTCTCTCCCGACTGCTTCAGCCTGGGCTAAGTTACCTGGGAGGAGAAATGAAAACCACATCAATACTGAACTTGTGTCTTTACCTGTCTACAGTAGGACGAGCATTCATTACACACAATTATGAAAATGCTGCTTGAGAAGAACCCACAGCCTAATGAGCCCAGGAGACATGACAACTCAGCACAATTCTAACAGAAGAGGTCTTTCACGACATTTAGAAAACCACATTTAAACTTCCTCCCAGACAAGTTATACCCAAGCAAGGACATAAAGTACAAAGCAGCACAGACTGGTGACTATCTCACACCCACGCACATGCCCTGTGTCTGCCTCAGAAAGCAAGTGTCCACGCGCTTTAGATGGCTTGTGACTTTTGATCCTGTCAAAGTATCACCAAGGTTTATTAAGGATGGCTGAATTTTTAAGAAGGCAGGAGAGGACTATGGCTAGAGCTTACTTGGCAGAGAAATTGCCTGCCACATCCAAGGCCCCAGGATTGATCTCCAATATGGTTTTACTATCTTAAAACAAGGGGAGCAGAGAACCCGCTAACTGGCTTCATCTGGTCTGCAATGGGCTGAGATGTCAGATTGAGTCATCAGCATCGTATCTTAAGGAAGAATCCATTGCTCTGAGCACAGTCCTGAGAGCAGACCCTATGTGGGCCTGCAGCTTCTACCCATCAACCCACAAGCCATTACAGCTGTCTCCAACTTGCTCAAGGGTGGCATGGCTAAGTGATCGCCTCCAGATCAAACGAGACCTGACCTCATACCCTCCTCCACGGCACAACACTAATTCTAAGTGCAGTACGACTTTCATCACATCATGCTCAGCTATGTTAGAGGAAGCTTCATTTTCTAGAAAGAGAGACAACACCGTTGTGTGTGCTGGAAGCGTTGCATGCGCATGCCCCTGGCCAGAAGTCAGCACCAGCTGTCTTAGGCAATTTCTTTTCAAGATGGGGAGAGTGTGTCGCTGCACTTTTGGCTCACCACTCAGGTTAATCTAGCTGGCTAGTGAGTCCCCAGGAGTCTTCTGCCTCTAGTTCCCCAGTGCTGGGGTTACAGGTCTCTATCTCACGCTATCTCCCTATGCTTTTTATGTGGGTATGGAGGGTGCAGCCATCTTCCCAGTCCCCAGAAAAAAACAGATTTTTGTTAACACCTAGTAACCAAGATTGATTTTTTTCTTTCTCCCTCTCTTCCTTTCTTAGTCTCATCCAGGCTGGCCTCAAGCCCAAAGACCCGCCTGCCTCTGCCTCCCAAGTGCTAGGATTAAAGGCCTGTGCCACCACAGCCATTTTAAATATCTTCTAAACTGAAGGAGTGACTTTAGCCTGCGGCTGTGACTCCACGCCCCGAGGGCCCGCAGAACTGGCCTGCGGCCACGGCCTCCTCCTCTGCACCTGTGTTGTCCAGTAGTATGACCATGTTGTTCCATGCCAGGCTGTGCTCTGGCTTCAGCACCGTGGCGTTTCTCCACGCATTCAGCGCATCCACATGGCGGTTCAGATCTGCATACTGAAAACAAAGAACCCCTGAAGGCAAAACTCCAACTCCTCTGCCTTTTGTCATCTCTAAGACATTATCAACAAGACAAACAAAATCCCCCAAAACAAACAAGAACAACCCTCACTCACGGAGCTTCTCATTCTTCATATCAACTTGGAAAACAATGCCACCACAAACCCACCTTTAGAGATGCAGCAACCAAGACAATGGGGAATGGAGTGACATGCTCAGTCACACATCCAGAGATGAAAGGTCAGGAATTAGAACCAGGCGGCCTGGGTCCCAAGCCAGGAAACTACATAACCTGTTACTTGCTTGATCACACGTACGAGGTCACACTTCCTGCTACTGAAAAGCCCTGATCATTGCAATCTCTCTCTCTCTTCCAGAAAGGCCCCTATAAACTTTTGTTTCTTTAAAAACCCAGAAACATTTATATAAATATGTTTTTGTTTTAATCCCAGGTGTGGGATAAAGGGCTGCTTCAGAATGTCCACAGCAGCTGAGTATGATTTGCCCTGTGCTCTAGCAGGAGTGCGACTTTGTCAGCTGCAGATAGTTTATCTCTAGAATGATGAGGACTCTCGAGAAGGTATAAAAATGTCAGAACTACCGAGGGTCTGCAGAGGCTGTTGCTCTCCCTGTTGCTGGTTTCTGCTTGCTCCTGCTGCTGTTGCTATTTGCTGGTTGCTGGTTGGAGATGAAGGTCACACTTGCCCCCAAAGACCTGAGTGAGCAGGAAGCAGTTTAAAGACACTGATGCCCCTTTCCCCTCTAATCTTTCTTCTTTGTCTCTTACCTAGTGTTGAGGGATTGAAAGGAATAGGCATGTTTAGGGAGGTAGGAAAAAGAACCCAATAAAGTACCCAAGTAATCCAGTTTCCATAGTTCATCTCTGATAAAGTATTATTTAGAACAGTAAATGAGTATTCTACGTGATCACAAACTTTTAGTAAGCTGGGGAAATGGCTCAGTGGGTAGTGCTTACACTCATAAAAAGCAAGCCTGTTGACACACACATGCAACCCCAAAACTGGGCAGAGGACAGGGACATGTGGACCCCAGGAGGCTCACTGGCCAGCCAATCTAGTTGAATATGGCAAGGTCTGAAACAGTGAGAGACCCTTTTCAGGAAGTACAGAGCCACAGACACCCAATGTTCATCCTTGGCCTCCATGCACACAAACAGGCTCACCCTCACCACGCGCACAGAAGCGACAGGGAGCAGGGAAGCAGTACTGTGTGTGCATGCTATATGCCTAATCTGCCGGTGTAGAATGGTTTGAATATCTAAACTCAAAATGAAGACAAGAGCCATCTGGATACACTGTGTAAACTCCCTGGAGCCCCAGAGTCAGTGGTGACACAGTACACCTGTCACACAACTCAAGTCCTTCTCTCCTTCCAACTTGTTCTCATTCTGACTGTTGATGCTTGCTGAAGGTGAATCAAATAGTAAGTTTTCGTTCTGTCTCCATGGCTACTCTTTCTTTACACACACTTGAGGGAGACAGAAGCATCATGCTTTAACACGAGGCAGGGAGGACAGGTGTTATTTCCCACGCATCCTATACTCTTTGGGGTTCTTTACCATCTAACTCCTAACACATTTTTTTGTCAGCCTAAGAAGAACAGGACAGAGGACATGTTTTCCCCCAACTCTCATTCTACCCTTTCTCCTACTGGCTCCTTCTCCAAATGGCTCCTTCTCTCTCCCACTGCCCCAGGATCATAAGGCAGATTCTTCTCCGTTCAAGTCTCCTTCCATCCACATGCCTCCCCCAGTTTCATTATTAATCTCTGCATTAATATAACGTTTCCATTTTTGTTCTTTCCACAACTGTCTGGCCAATTCCCTGTGCTGTCTTCCCAGTTTAAAATACTTAGCATGCTTTCTCTTTTTTAAAACCCATCATGACTGCAGTCAACAGTCCCCAAGCACTCCTCCCAGTCACTGACACCACCACCGTCATATCCCAAATAATGCAGCTCTTCCTATTTCTTCCACGATGAGATTACATCTTCTTATTGGAGTCCACAAATCAAGGTGAGTATGTGTCTCCCATTATAAAAAGGCAATCATGTCCCAAATAATGCAGCTCTTCCTATTTCTTCCACGATGAGATTACATCTTCTTATCGGAGTCCACAAATCAAGGTGAGTATCTGTCTCCCATTATAAAAAGGCAACTTCTAAAGCAGACACCTTGAAGTTATTAAGTTTCTCTTGTTTTCAGATATATAAATGGGCTGGCTGAGCTGTTAAAGATTAAGCCCTAATGCTTTTAAGCTGTCCTGGGCAAAGCTGGATAATTAAACCACAATGGAGAACAACAGCCTTGCACAATAGGCCCCGTGGTAACACCATAGGTAAACAATTTTGAGGTCTCCATTGTTTCAGCACTATGACAATCACAGTGAAGCGAAAGACTAGAGTTCACCATCCAAGCTTATTCTATGTTCTGTTTTCTTTGGAAGCCACTCCTACTGGGGCTCAGCTAGCATAAATTCTGTTTTCCGAATCCAAGGAACGGCAGTGACAGGCAGTGAGTGGGGAGGAAGTGAGGTTGTAGAACAGCTGTGCTATGGAAGCAGCGGCAGGTGCACTCACTTGGCTATAAACAGTAACTGAAAGGAGCCATCTAGATCAGGGAAACACCACAGACTTCACAGGGACGGAGGCTGATGTCAGCTGGCCCACCCAACAGAGCCGGAGGCTCCCCCTCCACCTACAGATTTAGGTTGAACAGCACACTCCCTTGTGAACTCTGAGGACTGGGCCTGCTCTGTATGTGACTGAGGTCTTGGACTCCCTGGAGTTAAAGTGTCTTCCACCACAGCTTATCTACGAGAGGGTTAGTACTTCCTGGTCTTATGGTTCAGGGAGAAGGCTGGTTCAGCATACAAGGACAAAGCAGATCACAAAACAGGCATCTGAAGTGTATAAACACTCAGGGCCCAGCAGCCCAGGAGTCGGCTGATGAGGATGACAGAGCACCCTGCTCTTGCTCGTTATTCCCCAGGAGTCCTGTTGCTGCTGCACCTCTACTGTGCCCTGCAGGAAGCAACTCCTGTCTTCCTGCCATACTTTACAACTAAGACAAGTTTGGTGTTTTTAAAATAAGAACATAAACACTATATCACTCTAAAGTTTCTCCTACAAACATTATCTGCCCATTTAAAGTGACTTGTCCAACATGAGAAAGAGTCTTTCTGCCTGCTGTCATGTGTCTCACCATTGTGATTCCTCTGTTCTTTCTTCCTGTGTAGTTAACAAAATCATGACTCATTATTCCGGAACAAACATGTTAAAGGTCAACGTTATTCATATCATGGTAAAAATGGAAGCCTATTCTTCCTATTGAATGGCCCCAAACATCCAAGGTTTTCTGGGTTTCCCTTCTGTTTTGAAATGGTCTTCAGGTCAAAGTCCAGAGAGGGATGCTTCCCAGAGGCAGGTGATGCCAAGGGGTGTTTATAATTACAGAATTTTAGTTTCTTTAAAAAACACAGAAATATTGTAGGAATATGTTTTGCTTTAATCCGAGGTGTGGGGATGTGGGGCTGCTTCTGACCGTCCGTAGCAGCTGACTATGATTTGCCTCGTGCTCCAGCAGAGGCATGGTTTTGCCAGCTGCAGATAGTGTTTGTGACTGTGTGACATTTGGGATTCGAGGAACTTTGCAGAGGGTGTGTATGTGTGAGTGTTAGTGTTTGTATGTGTGCACGCGCATGTGAGCACTAAGGCCCCAAGAGGCGGTGTTGGTGGATGTTGGTTGTTCAAAAGGGTTGGCTGCAGCTTGTTAGTAGTTATGCTCAAAGAAGAAACGAAAAGAAAGACATTAGATTCAGGGATCTCTCTTTTTCTCCCTCTATCTTTCTTTCTCTCCTATCAAGTGACAGGGGGTGGAATGGGGTGAAGGGTGATAAGGGAGAAAGAAGAACCCACAAAGTGGCAAAGACAAGTTCGGCAAACGTTACACAGAACAAATGCTCAAAAGAGGTGAGGTGGTCATGCGGATGACTACTGTGAGGGCACTACGGCATTGTTTAGACAAAGAACAATGTCCACTGCTGGTAAACAGCCTGTTTCAGCCTGAGGGTGCTACCTACTTGTGAAGCTGTGCACTCTCTTCAGATGTCTCGTCACTGTGCGTACAATCAGCAGAAGAACTTCCCTTACCAATTTCGCCTGGTAAGTCTGTAAGACTCTTGTTTAAAGAACTATGCTCTTTGAGTCTCATTATTTTCATTATTTGTCAAGAAAATTAAGAGCAATCAGATTGCCCTAAATATTCTGCCAACAATGAGAAACACAAACTAGTTCAAACATCTTAGTTTCTATTACCAAGTAACTGCAAGGCCCTTTCACATAAATGCTCTAACCCTGAAGCTGTCTTTTTGGGGAGGATGTCCCCTTGCAAAGGAAGAGATCTGCTCCCTTGGGGAATGATAATAAGGAAGCCCAGAAAACAGTTACAGGTTTGTTTTTAAGTCTTAGTTCCTATTCAATTATGTTTTAAAAACAAACAAGAATGTTTATCAGGAAATGGGCCCCTAGAACATGCTTCCCAGGGCAGAAGGGATGTACAGAATTTTCATTTGATCTGTTGCCTTTATGATTTTATAACCTGGATGGCTCATTAATTGGAACTTCAGCAGTGCACACAAAGAAATCTAATCACTACTTTCAAATGCGATAAACACATAGGAGGCTTTTATAATGTGGAGTGTGCTGGATGGGTTTAAGAGGGTCATCTGGTTAAGGTGATGGGAACAGGGGGCGGTCTGCCCTTACCAGCCGCCCAAGGTTGTAGTAGCAGTCTGGGTATTTCCGCCTGTGTTTAATAGCTGTCCGGTAGCTTTGCTCTGCAGCCTCAAACCGTTTCAGGCTGTTCTGAACTATTCCCAAATTCATCCATGCGGCTGCAAAGTCTGGCCTGGAAAAACATTTTTTTACAAAAGGTAAACAAAAAAGAAAGAAGATTAGATGACTGCCCAAATGGAGGTGCACTCTTTGTCCCTGGCAGTATGAAAAGAAAAGAAGGGGAGGAGAGGTGAGGGGAGAAGGGGAGAGGAGAGGAGAAGAGAGAAAAATGCTTACTGTATTTGGACAGCCATGGACAGCATCTCTTCAGCTTCTTGTAGCTCATTCCTTTCTTTTAGGATATTCCCAAGGTTATTCATGGCATGAACATACTTGGGATTTAATCTGGAAGTGGAGAGAGAGGCCAAACAATTGTTACTGCTCAGTTGTTTCCAGCCAACACTTGGAACTCAGCAGAGACTGGCAGGCATCGCAGGAAGTGACACTCCACCCATACATGTGTGTACCTGACTGCTTCTCGGTAATATCTGATGGCCGCTGTTTGGTTGCCTTGATCAGCCAGGTTTTTGCCGATGTTGTAGTGAACCTGAAAACACAGGTGACAATGTGGCCATCAGCACAGACTTCTTTTTTCTGAGCCAGACAACTTATCGAATCTTCTAACTGAAGACAGAAGGGAAAGGGATTTCAAACAAACAAACAAACAAACAAACAAACAAAACAGCACTCTCCAGAACTAAAAAGCCCTCCTGGTGGAAGGGTAAGAGGCTTATGTAAGAATCTGTGAGAACAGACCACAAGTCATGGAGGTAACAGGCAGACACGACTGTAAAATATGACAGGAAGGAAAATGGCTCTAACACCCCAGAGGAAACCAGGAAGTCACAAAGCTAGGCTCCTCTGGAAAGCTCCATGTCTTCCTCTCTCATGCATCTCAGAGCTGAGATCACAAGTCAGTCAACTACAGACCCGAGTCAGAGGTAATTCTATCACCTTTCCCTAAATCCAGCCCTTGCTGGCCTGGCCTGTCCCTCTGGTAGCACTGAAAGCATTTTGCTTCCTGAATTGTGAGCGGGATGTTTCTGTCCCCGCCCCACATTCTTACAATGGCATCCCAACTCCTAATTGCAGTGGGGACTTTAGCAGGTGAATAAAGATGGAGCCCCTCACTTTCTTTGTTATGGGAGGGTCTCTCTGAAAGATGGCTGTTCCTGGACTAGAAGAGGGTTCTTTCTAGGCACTGCCAACCACAGGTGCCTTCACTGTGGGTTTCGTAACCTCCAGAATACTGAGAAGTACATATATGGTGCTTAAACCCCAGTGTTCTCTCATGGCAGTTTAAAGTAAGAGGGCATCAAATAACCCCTGCCATCCCACATCCTTCTGGCAGCAATTAATGATTGACTAGGTAAGGCACTGTGCCAGCAGCTGGGACAACAGGGCAACAGAAGCCCAGAGTCTGCCTCACAGCACCCCTGGCTAATGACTAACCTTCTGCCTCAGGATCTGTGCCACTGCACAGGCTTTAAGGGTGTGTAGGAGTGGTTATGTTCTGTGGGTGGATTTCCTGCCTGGGATCTGAAGTAACTACCAGGAAAAGTTTGCCTGGAGGATGCTCTGGGAAGAGGAGGTAGCCCCGGCAGAGTTCAGGGACAAGAGGCTCAGGTCCTGCGGTGCTGAGGACAGGAACTTGGGGTGGCCAGCACTATGGTCAGCTAGGCAACGGCAGGTTGGTGAGGCACTGCTTGGAAGCAACAAGGCCAGAACAGTGTCCTTGGGCTGTCAGGACAAGGTGGGAAAGCTGGGGCTTCACACTGCGCTGCTGATCTCACTCCTAGAGTCCAGGCCGAGGGAGAGGCTCTTCCGGCCTGACTTCTGTCTTCTAGGTGTTTGCTGGTGAGCACACGCCTCTCTGCTGTCTTCATACGCCACCCAGCTTCCCCGTCTCCGTGTCTCTTCTCTACCCTGTCTTACTGTTTCCTTCTGCTCTAACAGAATGCCACAGGCTGCTTTTCTTTTTAAATGTACATTCAGGTTTTGCTTGTATGTACATCTGTATGGTGGTGTCAGGTTCCCTGGAGCTGGAGTAACAGACAGGTGTGAGCCACCATGTGGGTGCTGGGAACCTGGGTCCTCTGGACCACTGAGCCATCTCTCCAGCCCCCAACAGGCTGCTAATTTTTAATGCAGATATACACTTTGCTCACAGTTTAGAAGAGAGATTGTGAGGTCTGGAGTGGGTACCCCTGTGAGAACTCAGAACACAGTCAACAGTATCATGACAGGACAGTGGGGGGTAAGTTGCGAGTCCTGGCATTGCCCTCAGAGAAGGTCACTGCTGGTTTACCACAGGGTGCCTGGTCAAGCCTCTCTCCTTACAAAGCCTCATGTCTTCATCAAGCCTCAGCTGAGGCCTGGCAGCAAACACCTTCACATACTGACTCATCCTGTTTGTCTTAAAAAGGTTAATTTCTATGATGGGAGTTTCATGTTTACTAAGAATGAAAGAGAATATGAGATAATGGCTAAGGAGCACAGAAGCCATTTGCAAAGACGATAAAGAGGACTCAATGAGAAATTCTTAACCACCTTGGGATGAGGACACCTAGGAGGCGAACGCAGAGCATTTTCTCAGTTACACATGGGCTCAGAATATACTACAGAGAAACGTCAGGTGTGGTCACACAGGGGACCCCAATCCAGTCTGACTGGGTGAAGAAAGAAATAACGACCACACAAGCGCTTGCTACTTTGTGGGTTCTTCTTTCTTCACCCCTTCTCCACCCTTTTTCTTCTTCCCTTTCGACCTGCTAACACCAGATAAGATAGAGAAAGGATAGAGAGGAAAGGAAAGTGATCCCTGAATACCGTTAGGGGTTGGGAAGGGGACTTTATCGTTAGACTACTTTCTGTTGAATAGGGGCATGGAGTTCTTTGGGGCAAGTTTGATGTTCACTGACAGGATATCTAATTTCTTCTTGCTGTTGTTTCTTCTTTGCTTTGACCACTTAACGTCAACAAAGAGTAACCACCAACAACCAACAAGCCACCAACACCAGGGCTCAGGGCCTTAGCATTTATATATACTCTGAAAAATTGCCAGAATTCCAAACATCACACAAGTGCAGCTGGCAAAATCATGGCTCTGCTAGAGCACGAGGCAAATCAGAGCTGCTTCGAAGAAGCCCCATATCCCCCCACCTGGGATTAAAACGAACCATATTCTCATAATCTTGATGTGTGTGTGTTTTTTTAAAGAAACCCAAATTCCAAAATTGTCACTGCCAGACAGCCATTGACAACACAAAGGGGAGAGACTGCAGCAGGAAGCAACCTTGCCGACACCTTCCTCGTGAGACTTCCAGCCTTGAAAACCTGTTTCCATGGCTGCAGGCTGATGCTATCAGGCGTTGTGCTGCAGCAACCTGGGCACTCAAGCATACGGCCGAATCCTGAAACAGCAACAGCCTAAATGCATTCCAGCAGGAGTGGTGCCCTGTACCCTGAAAAGGAACCCGTCCTGTCCTCCGTCTCAACCCAGTTACAGCACTGCTGCAGATATTCTTGCATTTCTGGAATGGTTGGGGCAGCGTGGCATTCTAAAAGCACATGTGTTGCAGATTCCTTTCACAAAGTCAATTTTAAAATTGCTATTTATATTTGCCTAATTCAATGAGAGAAATCCTAAGCAGAGAAATACTAGGTTGATGTATTGTGTACTCCTGAACATCACCTCTCTTATAAGATACACACACACACACACCACAGTGTGACAGAAACTTCCTGGACCACAATACTATCCGCTCAAAGGCATTTTCATTCTTACATTACAGCTTGGAAGTAGTCTGGTAAATGCTGTTGCCAGAGCAGGCCTTGGTATTTGTGAAGATCATCCCATTCCATGCACAGAAGAACAAAAAACTAGATAGAGGATGCCACCAAGAAAGATGTCCTCCTGGTCCCCAGAATACAAACACAGTTTCTACTCAGATGTCAATACGATTCTAGCCTCTCTTGCCCACAAGCTCTTGCTGCTTTCCTTTGTTTGGGGTAAATTTTGTTCTCTCTGTAAACCACTCTCAAAAAGAGTTCAGCTGCCCTCTGCAGCATGGCCAGGGTTCTGCCAGACACTCAGGATGCCAGGCCAGAATTCCAAGGGAGAGGACAGGCTACTGTGAAAAGCCTGACAGCAGCTATTTAAATGGAATGAGTTAGAAATATGATTCAGGCCTCGAAGGCAGTCTAAAATTAAAAACACATCCTCACTCTGTGGATTGGACAGGGAATTCTGTGAAAAGAAAATAGCTGCCTAGATTGGGCCAAACACTGAGAAGACAAACCTCACAACAGGCCACTTCTAGTAGTGGTTAGAAAATTAGTGACTTTGTTACCATGGTAAATAAAAGAGGGAAAGCTCCCATTTACCCAACTTTCCCCCAGCCTTTGCACCTCATATGCTGAGACAATGAAGCCAGATTAAAACATTCACTGCCACTAAATGACATACACATGTGAAAAAAGTAACAGGGACCACAACAAAAGGCACTCTTAATATCATTGCTTTAGAAACTGTTTCAAATATTCTGCCGAGGTTGAAGATCGCCAAACCTAAAATGTTTAAACACACAAAAATTCAGTAATCATCCTTCAGGAAATACCTTGGGGTGGCATACGATCTGTCCACTCTTAGGACTGTATCATGGGGCTGATATTAAAAGCATACGCCTCAGCCTTAAAAACGAAAATGACTGCCAATATTCAGTACCTGGAGTCTCACGCAAGGTAGGCTTGATGAACACAATCTTCATTTGGCCCAATTCAAACATTAATATTAGGCACTTACCACATGCAAGGCACTGTGGGTAATTTAAATGCAGGCTCAAGACCAGCACTACCTACACTGATATCCCAATCTAAAAAAAAAAAAAAAGAGTCTCAGCTTATAAATCTGGGTCTGAACAGTAGCCAGGTGCCAACTGCTTACTTAATATTCAGAAGCTACTGAGCAGAGACCAGAACAGAAAACAAATCCCCTGGAAAGTGATCGAAAGGACGCAGCAGTTTTCAAAAGAGAGCCTTCCTCTCTGAGAGCAACAGAGCTTTTTGAAAAAAAAGAGGAAGACAATTCGACACCTGAGTGTATAGAGAAATACTCTATACACAATCGGAAACTTTATCATGCTTACATGAAATGGCAGCATCGTTGAGAAAAGCTCTGGAAAAGAAGGGATATCACAGCACTTGAGGTCTTTATGTGCACCCCAAGTTAAGAAGAGAAACATATATACTTGTGACCTGAGTAATGCCCATGTGTGAATCCTGTTTTCCAGCCTATTGTGGCTCAGTTCACATGCTGAGAAGATGTTCAAGCTCAGAGAGCAAATATATCCCATGTCTATTGCTTACTATGGTCACTTGGGCACACCAAAACACCACGATGGATCTCTACTGAGCCACCAAAATTACTCACACAAATCGTACCAGCTTCCCTTTTCTATGCCTGTCTCTCCGAACTGGCAAAATAAAGAAATGCCCTCCAAGTCCTTAGCAGAAAAACAACAGGATTAATTATAAAGCCCTGTGTAGCCTGGAATGAGCAACAGCGAGGACCCACGGAAGCAGAAGGGCAGCCAGCGCTGTCCCTGCAGAGGCATGAACGTGAGCGGAGTCTCATGTCTATGGAATTAAACCGCCACTGAAGCTAATTAACAACAGAGCGTGACATATCAGGAAACAAAGATAAACACTTGAAGGAAACCACTTTTTCTAAGACATCTCAGCAATAAAACATGAGTGAAATGTTTCAACCAAAAAAGAAAAAGCAAACAAACAACGAAGGACAAGGGGTCATGGCGTTATAGACTTGTCTTCACTCTGGGGTCATAGTAAGATGTGAAGCTCATTAGTTTTATTTATGTAACTTTGAAATCATTGCTTTCTTTAATACAGAACATAGAACTGAAAACCTCAGAGACGTAACATTTGTACGTTCCAAGCAATGCCAATCAGTGAGCTAAGACAGCTTCAGACAACAGAATAATCTGTACTCTAAACAGGAGACTTCTACCCTAAAGTCTTGGCCCAACCCTAGCAAACAGAATTCTCTTCTTAATGTACCGTGAAGTCAAATAACACAAAATTAACATTTCCCAAGCACCTACTATGTGCTGACCACTGTTATGATCAAGAAAGCTAGCACGCAGGCATAGAACTGAAAGCTTGCATAGCTGAGTAAGCGGAAAGCTAAGATTTAACCAAATGTACAAGTGAGGTGAATCCCCACTAGACCCCTCCAACAAAAACACTGCCAATTTCACAGCACACATCCATGCTTATCTAATCTGGCAAGAGGCGCCACCAGGCAGGATCTCAGGGTGAACTGCATGTGAACTTCTGTGGAATGGCCGACCTTAAACTTCCAGTCCTATCCGTAAGTATTGCTGCCTTCACACTACAGCCGAGGGCCCGCTCCTCCCATCAGCAGAGCGTGGCTTCTGAAAGGTGCGCTCTAAAAGAAGAAGATGGTAGCTGTTCCCTGCCTGGAGGCGCGTCATCCCTGACTCCAGCACCTGGCAGGTGGGCACACGTTTGCGCAAACCAGCCTATGGATACTGTTTGCTTTCAATGATTTCTTCTGAATTTAGTAATGTTTGTTTTTTGTTTTTTTTAGCTAAGTGTAATTAATCTTAACTCACTGAAAAAAATTACACTAACCCCCCCCCCCCTCAAGTATTTGATGATGGGCTAACACTGGTCACTGCTCTCTGGTGAATACTCTCATCCACTGAAGTCTTCAAACATTCTCCAGTGAAATGCTCTGAAGAGGAATCTGGTGGCAAGGTACCTTAGCATTGAGGGGACACACAGACAGGGCACTTCGGAAGAGCCGGTCTTCGCTCCGCCACTCGCCGCTGCGAACCACACATCTCAGCGTGTTGATGAGTAGAATGCCCAGGATGATGGCGGCAACTGGTTTCTGAACGGAGTAGGCAGATGTCATGAGTAAGCTAAGTGGTGGCTAGGGTTCTTTGTGGCAGCACTCTGAGCTGCGGTGTGCATATATGCGGAACATGCACTCGCGCGCACCCTCCTGTGCCCACGTACAGCCACACGAGGACACCAAGCGCCTTCCTCCTCACCTTCCTTCTTCACACAGGACCGCTCACTGAACCTGGAGCTGGCTACTTCTGCTAGGCTGGCTACACAGCGAATTCCCAGGGTCTGCCTGGCTTGGCGCTCCCAAGCTCAAGGTTACGGGCAAAGCCAACGCAGTGTTTCACACCGATGCTATGGTTCCAACTCAGCCTGCATGCTTGCACAGCGAGTCTCTCACCCACCGAATCATCGCCCCAGCACCCCCCCCCCAATACCTTTTTCTTTGTGTGTCTGCTTAGGGCTCCGAAGCCAAAGGTGAGCAGCACACAGAAGCCCGCGCTCGGGAGGTACAGGACGCGCTCTGCGACCACGAAGCCCACTCGGAAGAACAGGTTGCTTGCAGGAAGAAAGGGGATCACAAGGAATCCCAAACCCAGAGTAAGGGTTCTGGAAGATGAAATGGTTGCTTTTAGACTTCTCAAGAAAAGTACCTTCCTTGCCATGAAGACTGTTCTTTGTTTCTTACCGCCAATTTAGAAAAGATGTTAGCAAAGATAAAGTCATCAGGAGAGGCAGCACAGAGCAAAATACTTAGCAGCCAGCACACAGGGAAACATCCAGATCATATGCCAGACCACGTTTAATCTACTTCTTCATTAATGAACACTGGTCCCAAATAGATCCATGTAGTTTTTAATGGATGACCCCACCCCCCCACCACACACACACACACACACACACACACACACACACACAAACACACACACACACACCACACACACACACTTTCCTAACACGAACAAATACTGAAATAGATTAAACTTTGTAAAATTCCAAAGAAACTGACATTTTATGTGGGAACCACTTAAGCACAAGAACGCTGTGCGGTGAAACTCATCCAGATGCACATTTCAGTGTCTCGTATGATGTGGTGGCCTAAGTGACGCAGCGAGGTCACATCCGAGGTTCCTCTGGGAGCCGTGACTCACAGCACTTTAGTTTTAAATCCTGTTTCACACATACAAATGAACTGCACGGACGCTGTTGCTCTTCAGAAGCTCACAGGTCAGCGCAAAGCATCCATGTGTTTTGAGAAACGCCACAAGGACTGTCACCTAGGCTTTGTGGAAATCCTCCTACAGTTTTCATTGTCAGAGCATGTTTGTTTTCCCCAGTTATTTTCTCAATAATGCTTTGCATAAGATCCTTTTATCTGCTGGAAAAGTATAGTATCTCTTCCGGGCAGCAACTTAATTTGTGCTGGACAACAGAAAGGACCAGCACGGAACTCACAAGGACTTCTCTGATGGAGAACTGTGAGGTACCGGGCCCGACACATGCACTGCACTCTCTGTTCTGAGCATAGATTATACTTTAGTGCTTAACAGAGGGGAAGGACTGCGTAGGAACTGGGGGTGGCACCTGGCAGTCATGCCCACTGCTCCTCCAACTTCCCTCCCCACCAGCTGAAGCTAGCTGTAGATTCATTCCTACTTGGTGGTTGCCATAACTCAGAACAAGTGTCCTTAGATATGCACAGAGTTGTTACAAGTGACGGGTGCTCGGTTTAGCAGGATGATTCTGTAGAAGTTAAAACTGCTGCCTCTTACCTTCTCTTGCAGCTATCTTCAGCGCACAGGGCTTGGAATATTAGGCCAATTAGGCAGAGCCAGAGTGCCGCTAGAGCAATTACCCTCCAGTCACCAACTGACTTAATGAGGGGGATGCAGCCCATTGACCAATCAAAACACAGCCACCAGGGACACAGCAGCAGCCAGGCATTCAATGAATAGTAGTAATTATAGTTTATGGCCTGTCAGTCAAAAGAAAAACAAACACTTCCTTGATGTCGAATTTGAAAGAACATGCATATCCTAACTTCACTTCTGAGGAGGTCATGAGCGTCTGTTCCAGGGAGCAGTTGTGTAAAAATAAAATACTGCCCATTTGTGTTCTGCGCATAGGGCTGTAATCTGTAATTTATCAACTTCATGCAGATTTTAGAATTTTAATACTTCAGCCAATGCAGATGTTACTTATATTTCTGGCTCATTTACTCAGGGTTATCTAATGCCTCTGCCACGGTCAGTGTGAGGCCTGCTGTCACCAGGGACCTAACAATTTAAAAACAGAGCCCAGCCCTCCCTACACAGCCTCCCGATTTCTTTCTGTAAAGCACACAGCTGAGAACCTGGGGCTAGAGATCCTTCCTTATCCTTAGGAAAACAGGAACATAGGTGAATAATCTCAATACTGTCAGACTCTTAACGAGCACTGTGCTACTACATTTGTCTTAATTCAGTCATGCCAGGTTCCCACGCAGCAACAGAAATGGGGTTAGAAAGCACATTAGTAAGACGGCCATCACAACAGAAGGGCGGCCCTCCCTTCTGTCCACGAAAGGAGTTATGGCTGTAGTTCTCTCTGGGGGCCTGAATCCACAGATTCAGCAAACCTGAATTTAACCACATGCTGAAAATATTTGGAAGAAACAAATTCCAGAAAGTTTCAAAACCCAAAGCTTAAGCTTGGTGAGCAGCGTACTTCACTGTATCATGTAACAAAGAGCAGGCGTTGTGTTAGGCACAGTATAGAAGCTGAGAGACTTGTGAGCTTAGGGAGATGGGAACAGGTTATATGTAAATACTTTACATAATCAAAGAGGCTCAAACACCCCTGGAGTTTGGAATTGTGGGGGGACTCTTGAAACTAATTGTCCATGGAGAGCAAGAGATAACTACAGGGAGCCAACATACAGTCTTCCCAACTGTGTAATAACAAGTCAGCTTCAGAACCGTAACAACAGCAAACATGGGTGTGTGCATTTATTAGGCACTTGTGAATACGATGGGGGGGGGGGGAGAAGATGGGGAAGGATGAAGTGTAAAAAGCCGCGGTTCTCAACCGTCCTAAAGCTGCAATCCTTTACTATAGCTCCTCAGGTTGCCGTGACCCTCAACCACAAAATTATTTCCATTGCTACTTTATAATTGTCATTTTGCCACTGTTATGGATTGTGATGTAAAATCTATTTTCCAACTGTCTTAGGAGATCCCCTCAGAAAGGACCACAACCTACAGGTTGAGAACCGTGAATCTACAGATTGATAGCGAGAAAAAATAACTGAAAAGATTCCAGGTGCAATACTTACCCTAACTAACATGCTATCAGCAAAGGAGGCTGGGTTGTCCACCTCAGTAAATGCCGGTGGGCCTGTACCCATGATGGCCCAGCGTACGTAAAGCATCCCTATGCCTCCGAGGGTGAGCAAGGTCATTCGGAAGAGGAGGCCTCCATTCCTGAGCACACCAATGTTCTGAAAGGACACCACAAAGTTCCTGTTGTTGAAAATTTTCACTAAAGCCTAGTAGGTAATCTAAGTATTTAGGGGCTAAGACAAGAGACTAGCCACATTGGCCCATATGGTCTCCTGGGGGCTATGCAGAGTTCAAGTACGGCCTAGGCAAGCTAGTAAGACCGGGTTCAAAAATAAAACGTAAGAAAAGGGCTGGAGAAACAGGTTAGGCACTTGCCTAGAACGAGGCCTGGGGTTTAATCCCAGCACTGCAAAATAAGTAAACAACCCAACTCCAAGTATAACGGGACACAGTGCACTAAACAGCTGCCTACTTGAGAGTTTAAATCTCAAGAAATATTCGGAAAACAGCATTTTTAAAGAGGCTGCTACTTGACATTTTCCATGTCTAGGCTCACGATGAAGTACATAACTCACCTCTAATGACTTGTCCTTATGTAGTACCTTCCGGACAGCTACCAGAATGTTGAATTTGCCTATCACCAGGATATCAAACACAGCGTTCAAGCCCTAAGAATCAAAGCCTCACAGTTAGTCTGGAGGGAACCTGGCTCCGACAGGGCAGAAACCATAGTCACATTTTCATTATTTAACCCAGACAAGAAACTTGAAGATGACCACAGACAAACTCCCAGTACTTAGAAAGAACAACACGTGTTTAGATGAACCTAATCCACAGGACGGATTCTACCGGTGCTAATCGAGGGAGCCCCTGGCAGCAATGATCCCACAGCCTACATGTAGCAGCACTGTGCAATTTAGAATAGCTAAAACTCTGGGGCTCCCATAAGAAGCTCCCCAGAAGTCTTTGTTTCTGCCATTCCTTGTCTGTAACTGAAACACAATGGTCAGCTGCCTGGGCAGTAAGTAAGCATAAAAAGAGAAAGGCAGCCATCAATCCTGCCAACCCTGCTTTGTACCTAAACTTCAGTGGGCTGACTGGGGCCTGGGGAATGGTCAAACACGTCAGTCTCTGAGGAAGCCCTGGCTCTCTCGGGTAGAGCTCCCTGGGCACACAGCTGGACTCCATCCTCCAGAGCGCCCCTTGGAGGAGAGAATTCAAGGTCAGTCGGGTCACATGGGTGGCAAATGGAGCCTGGGAAGAATGACCACACTCTTCTGGAGCTATAGTCTAAAAGCTAGACTCTCTTCTCTTTGTGTCCTCTTACCGGTGGCTGTAACGTAGCTCTAGAGGAGCTCTGCACCCTGCACATTAAAGATGCTAATGTGTGCACAAGTAAGTCTCCTCAGACACGATTAGAATCACCCTCTATTGCTAGCTGAACAACAAATGACTGACGTGACCTCCAGTGGCTACGGGGGCAGTGTGACCTCGCCTACGGGCACACTGTCTGCTTTGGCAGCTATTCAAAGTATAGTTAGGCCCTGGACCTCATCTTTACTCTGTGGATGGCTTGCTGTACATGTCACTCTCACCTACTGGAACCCATGCCCAGTCTGTACAAAAGAGTCCAAGTGTCGGGTGAAGCTGCCCCTAGTGACAGAGCTCTTTTTTAATACGGGGTTTTAGAGCAAGGAAGATGAGGAATCATCAGAAGCCAGTGCTAATTTGTGGTTTCCAGAGCAAGGCTGACACCCCTGCTTAACTCTCTTCTCCCACAAACGAAAGGAGTCACTAATTACCCAATTCACAGGCCACTGCCGGGTTAAACATATCCAAGAATCCTGATTTTATCCACTAACGTGACAGTCGGTCATCATGGGTCACAGAAGAGTCTCTGCTTAACTGTACACTGCTTTCCGGAAGACAGGAGCTCTGTCTGCTGCTGCTCTGTCTCATGCTGTTTGTCCTTGCCATGTGATCAGGGGCACGGAGCCCAATACAAGATTGGTACTCACTTTTCCACCCAAGCTAGAGGCAGCCTCAAGATGCTCAGAGTTCATTTCAGCTCAACCTAATCTTAGTGCTTCTAATGCGTTAACAAACTCTGGAGCAGACCTGGATAGTGTGGTAAGCTAAGTAGGCCTGGGAAGGGGCGGAGACCCTGGCCTAACAAGCTCTGGGGATGACGAGGCAGCTGCCCAGGCTGCTGGTCCTTTCTGGCTCATACCTCAGATTCCACGTTTTCCTGTAATGACACAAGGCCAACCAGGGCTATGCGGAGAGGGGCGGCGATGGATGGATGGATGGATGGATATATATTTAATGCGTCTCTGTCGCTCGGACTCAGATCAGACCGAGGCGTGCTGTGCCTGCTGTGTAGGGAGCCCTCTCCTGCCCACCTCAGCACTGGCAGTGGAAGCTGAGCACAACAGAGCACACTCAACACTTGGCTCACTAGCATGCACATGTCATTTAATGACTGGTTCTAACAGACTCACCGAGCTCGCTCTATGAACACAACTTCACGTCTATTTTACAAAATACAATGTAGCCTACAACTGACTGAAGATGATATATGTCCTATATATACAAACGGAAGCTTCGGTTCTCAGAACTGTGAAATGTGTAATGAAGAAGAGAAAAAGCCTTTTAAAAATCTGTTTGGGATGGATGGCAGACAGGTAGTGAGAATCACTCTCCTCTACCATGTGGGTCTCAAGGCTCAAACTCAGGTCATCAGACTGGCAGCAGTCACCAGTACCTGCTGAGCCATCTCACTGGCTCTACACCTTTCTAAACACTCGACTAACTAGGCCAAGGCTTTAAACTGCGGGTCAGGATCCCATGTGAGACCACGCAATTAACCATAAAAAGCTGGCAACGTCAAAGTTTCTAAGCACAAGATAACCAAAAATTAAGTCAAAATCAAAAACATGATGAACGGAAGGTGTTTGTAGTGGCCCCCATCCAGGGTCCACTGTGCGGCCTCACTGAAGTCGGTATTCCAAACACATCACGCACTCTTGGCACTGGGCACGCCATCACACCACACAATGCCTGAATCCCTGCCTGAGACTGTGGACTTCTGCATGCCATGAATTGGTTTCTTTACACAAGTTCTCTGCTCTTACAGAAACATAATGGTTTAATTATGGAAAATCAACACTTTCAATCTTTTCCTATCATTTAAAAGCATTGAAGTATCAAATTAGTGTTTTGTTGGATTAGATTTTCTTAGACAAATAACTATATCCACCTTATGGCATACAAATTTACTTTATTCAATAGATGGTAAGGTTACGTTATACCAGAGAATTGGTATAAAATATGATGTCATCAGTAAATGTTTGATCTGTAAGCCTATCTCATATACCTACTTCATATACCCTGGGTTGTGTAAAATGTTTTGGGTGGAAATGGGCTGTGAATGTTGAAGAAGCCTGGGCTGAGGACTCAGTTCAGTGGGTCAGTGCTTGCCTAGCAGGCACAGTGCTAGGGTTTGTTTGCTGGAACCACAAAAGCACAATGAGCCCGAACTGAACCAGCACTCTTACTCAGGTGAAGGTGTCTCAAGTCTCATTTTGGGTGAGAGAAAAAGCCAAGTGTGTGGGGGCCTAGAAGGTTTCAGTGGCTGGTCAAGGTCTTTGCTGTGTGCAGGACTGCTAAGTCTGAGCGTGCCCCAAGAAATTCAAGCCATTCTTTCATCTTTTTCTAAGGGACTCTGCAAGGAGGAACCGTGCTCCTCTCCCTAAGAAATTCCCATTGGTCAATTCCCAGCATTCACAAGTCATGGACAGAAGAACCTGTCAGCTCTCCATCTAAAACACTGGCATTGTGGCAGCCAAGACCATTGGTCCAGAAAAGGCTAAAACCTCCAGCTGGGGATGGCACACAGAAGCAGAAGAGGCCACAGGGGTGGGCTGGCCAACAGTGTCTCTCTTGGAAGGAACGGATGACCCTATCTGTGCCTGAGTTCTTACCAGCACAGTGATTCCTTGTTCTTTGCACAGCATGGCCGCTGCTCCCAGAAAGATGCTCAGCAACACCCAGAAGGTGGAAGAATGTGCTCCCTCCTTGTTATCTGCTGGGAAGAGACAAACACATAAGTCATGTTTTATGTTCCACCTTGCCAGCACCAGGAACTAAAATTCCAAGCATGCATGCACAGAATCACTATCTGAAACCTTAATTTGGACCAAACCATTGGTCCCCAGTGGGCCACTGTGCGTTTCTGCGCTCAGGCTGGACAATGTCCTCTAAACAGGACATATGTCCCATCTCAAGGCATTGAGAAGCATTGTAAGTAAGCTCTGTCCACAAAGCTGCCATAACCCAGAGTCCTCGTGGAGCAAGTTCCTTCTCCCCTACCTGCCACCGCTGCGGGGCCATGCTCAGTGCTGCTGAGAACGGTGAGGCTGTGAACAACCCCGCTGCCTGTAGGTGACGCCACAGGCAGTTCAGCCTGTTAGCCTAGGGAGAAGGACTGGGCTCTGTCCACCGGGGCTCAGGCTGGGCCTGCTCCTGTGTGCAGCGGTGCTGATCCTGCTACCAAAGGGTGCCTGGCTGCTGCTCACCTTGCCTAGCACTGCGGACAAGCAAAGGCCTTGGGCCTGTGCGGGCTGCAACTGTTATGGGGCATCAACAGCAAGTCGGAGAAGTTGGAGGTGGCAGCCGGTTGTCACTAAGTTGCTTTCTGAGGAGGCAGGCGTGCACTCATTGCTGGCAGGGGTCAGCAGAAAATGCAATCTAGTGGCCAAAGCTACACAGCTGGAAGGAGACGGAGTGTCACAGGCAGGTTCCTGGCCCTCAGTCCTCACAAGCAAACAAGAGAAGTGAAAAACAATGCCTTTTCTTGTGGGAACCAATCATTAGTGTGTCTGAGTATATCTGCAAGAACTTTAAATCTCTGCCTCTCACTTTTAACACCCAGCACCCAGCAAGCTACTTCCATTTACTGCCCTCATGTTTAAGATGGGGCAATGAACCTAACTCAGGAAACGAGAGAAAAGCACTAGAGCGAGTGACTTGCCAGTGTGGTATAAGTTACCTTATACCTTATACCATCTGGTATAAATATCCCTCCAGAAAATACGTAAGAAACTAACAGCAGCTCTTAGTGAGGGGAGGGAGAGCCGAATGCCTGGGGAAGTTGCATTTTTCACTGCAGAATCAAGTCCTGAGTCTATGTACATAGAAGACCACAGCACAGTAAGAATCACTTGCTGTGTGTGGAAACCACAGCTGGAAACGCTGCATGGAAACCACTGCAACTTCCTCAGGTCAGATCACGGGATTCCATGGGGCCTCACGAAACAGCCAAGAGGGGTGGCTGGTGAATCATTCTGGCATGAAAGGTGCCAGGCATGCAGTCCAGTTTCTAAGGTTCACCATGATTCTCACTGAATGGCCCACTCCAGAAGCCAACCTCCAGAAGCCAGTAACAAGTGTGTGCGTGTGCGTGTGTGTGTGTGTAAGCGTGTAGGCGATGCACACCCTGACTGGCTAGAAGTCTTGTTGTTTAGCAAGGACTGATTGGCAAAGCCCCAGGATGGAGGGGAATCTTTCATGTCTTGCTAATAACCACTGAGACCCAGAGTGCACTGGAGGTGATCCCGGCTGAGGCACCTGTCAAGGTGATGAGGCCTGCAGACAGCAGAAGCCCTTGGAAGCTCACGAAAGTGTGAGCAGCACCATTTTCTGCCAGGACTGACTCCTGCTGCTGCCTTCAGGCTAAGGGTAACCTTTGTGAGTGCGACTTTCATTAGTGGCCTTGCTACTGTGACCACCTGGCACCCTCTAGCTTCCATGGTCTATATTCCATCCCAGGCATAGTAGCCAACTCAACAGATTCCCACTTTGCTTTGCTTGCCTGTTCCCTTGGGCAAGTACGCCTCTGGCAAATCCTACCCTTTTATAGAGCTGTCAGATGTCACTTAAGCTGTGAAGCCACACCCCTGCTCTCCCAGGCAGCCTCCCTTCCAAAATCACATGCTTTCCTGCAGCTACAACAGCAAGTGGCCTGCCTGTCTCACTGCCTATGGGAAGGTGTCCCTAACTGACAGACACCCTCAGACTAAGTTAGGAGGAACCATAACCCACCATCCACCGGGATACTCTTAAGTGCCTTATAGACGCTGGATTTTCTGTTACTACTCCAGATGAGAATCTCTCAACATTAGACATTTGGTTGTTTGATACTTTGTTGTGGGAACAATGCTACACATCACAGATTTAGATGCATTTCTACTCAGCAGGCAACCCTGCTGCGAACATTGCCAAATGACCATGCTGAGGGGAATTATGCCTATCGGAAACCACTGCCCTAAACCAGTGCTACTCAGGGTTCAGGCTCTGGAGCCTGAGCTTAGATCTTGCAAAAACTGCATAATTACAACCCACCTAGGCTTCTTGAGTCAGGAATCCTGAGGATGGCAACTAGCAAGCCATGGGCCCTTTTAACATGGTTCCCAGGCCTTCTGTATGCTCTGTAGGCCCTGGTAGAAGCCTGGCATTCAGCTACACTGTCGGCACCCGCTCGGCTTGGAGGAGCAGCTGAGAACTGCACTGAACAAAGAGCAGCAGCACCCAGTGCCAGCACTGGAGTGGCAGCACATGGGTGGGTGAAGGAGAAGCCTTTCAGGATGCTTCCAGCAGGGGGCCACCTGGCCTTGACTCGTAACACAGCCGTCTCACTTTTAAGCTCTGGCCCATTAGGAATGTAATTCCTTATGCTGAGCACAGGCTTGCCTTTCTAAAATTCATGGCTCAGCTCCAAGCTGTTCGGGCGGCCCAGGGCATGGACGTCAACGCTTCTCCCAGAACCACTACATACTAACCTAGTTCTAGCAAACAAAAAATGACTTATATACATGTAATACCAATAGCCTACCACCATTACCAGAGCCACTCACTAAGCAGGATTCTGACATGAAACTTTGTCCAGGTTCAGCGTGAGGCATTGAATCCAACCTCATCCCACTGTACTTGTGTCCACTAAACCTAAGCCCAAGTGTCCTACAGGAGCCAATAAACTTATTCTGCTCTGATCTACCTCAGCATGTTACCTGGATTTTAGTTTTTTATTATTAAAACTATCAATTCTATTTCACCTCCATATATATGGATTTGACATTAATCATGCTCAGTTCATACTTTTCAACTAAACATCATATGATTTTTCCAAATTCTTAATTTCAGAAGTACATCCCCAGATCATTTTATATCTTCCTAGAAAAGTGGAATTACTTTGTGTTTTACTTAAATATAACATCCCCTGTGGGGGCGTAACAGGAAACAAATCCCCAGGTCCTTCATTAACACAGGAAAAGGTAACTTTTGAAGTCACCCTGTCAACACGTGAAATCAGAGGGCTCGAGTCCCATTTATCTCATCTGGATAGCTAACACAACGAAGGCGTGAAAACAAGGCAGAACACACAGCCTTCGGCTTAATCAAGCTCTTTCCCTAGGGTCACTGCAGGACTGTACACAGCCCTCACGCCCTGGGCTAGCTGGCTCCTGTCAACGTGGCACAACGCCAACCTGCTCTGACCGGAGTCTTCTCTGAGGGAATGCTTCCATGGGTTGGTCTGAAGGCAAGCCTGTTTGGGTACTGTCTGGATTGATGATCGCTGTGGGAGGGCCAGTGTTGTCCCTGGGCTAGGTGGTCATGGCTGTAGGACTCAGCAGGAGGAATAACCCCGGATGAACACTGAGAAGCACCTCTCAGTGTCCCCGCTTCAGCTCCTGCCTCCAGGTTCCTGCCTTGAGTTCCTGATCTGACCTCCCTCAGTGAGGGAGGGCAGGGAGGCCTGTGCACACAGGTAGGCACTGGAGAAGCCAGCAAAGTTAAACACACAACTCACCTCTTCAGTGGAATGAGGTGCTTAGCTGCTCTTCCTGGAATGTCCAGAATGTTGTAGTTTTACAACCTGGGGATCCTTTGCTGTCTGATGAGACAGGCTCTGCCCATATCTTCCAGATTTTTTTTATTTTACTTATCCCAGATTCTTCCCCCCTAAACCTTAGCACAGCTTTTAGGCCATAAAACTATCTTTACAGTGAAGTCAGTTGTGCTGTCCAGCAGCCTAAGTAACTCTGATGTTATCATGGGCCCAGGCCAACCCTGACACCCACAGGCATTACGTTTACCTCAGTCACAATCCCTAGACCCTAACTCTTCGGCACTATCTCTCAGCCAACAGTACCCATTCTTGTGAAAGAAGCCAGATATCCTTTGTAAGACTCCCAGTGTGAGCACACCTTAACTTGTTGTGTACTTGGGACTGAGTTAACTGTAATCTGGTTGCTTTTTCCCAACATTGCGCTGTGCTTAAATATGGCTCAAGGAGAATGATCTGGACCAGACTCTAGAACTCTGGGTACAGCATCGGCTACGACAGTTGGGCTGAGCGGAGTTTCATTCTAACCTCACGCTGATCCTTCTCCTCCTGCCTGCTGCGGAGGCTGTGATGTGGAAGTGCAAGCGGAAATAAACCCTTTCCTCTCCAAGCTGCTTTGGTCATGCTTTGTCACAGCCATAGAAAGCCTCCGCTTCCTCCACTCACACTTCCTTCACTGCAGTCTTCCCTCAGCTTCGGACAGCACATGCCCAGGACAAAGCCCACAGGTGAAGAAGATGTGGCTTCTGAGCATTGTCTGCTCGCGTTGCCTAGGCCCCAGTCACCATTTACTAGTAGGCACTGTCTCTGTAGTTCGTGGCAATTTCAGGTCAGCGGTCGGTCGTTAACCTGGCTGACAGCTTCAGAGAGCCCCACTCCAGAGCTGCTCCTGTCTTAAAGCAAATCATTAACGCTAACGAGTACTTGGAGACTTTATCGAGTCCCACTGGGATGTGCTACACTGCGACCCTGCATGGGAAAACATTTCACATTTTACACTGATGTCATATAAAATTATATAAAATTGTAATCCATCTCATCACCTAAAGAGACGATTAGTATCCAAGCCTCAGACTCACTGTGAAGTACAGGGTGAGCCGCGATTCCTGAGCCTCCTGCTTCCATCTCGAGTGCTGCGATTATAGGCCTGGTTCTTGTGGAGCTGGGGCCTGAACCCAGAA